TTAATGGTCACTGTGGTTCGAAATATCTAGAACAGTGTTACTCAAAATGGTGATTGATGGTCCAGTGTCACATTTATGAGCCATTTGCCTCTGGTCAACTCTTCCTGCAATGTTTCAACATTTTTGTTTGTGTCTGGGCTGGAAATTATGCAGCCAGATGTTGTTACATTGTCAATTCCAGTAGGCCGGTGGTGAAGAAGGAGGGAGTTGCAGTACAAAAATATCTGGAGTGCCACATGATTTTCATCTCTGGTTTATGCACAGGTAAGGAGTGTATCATGCCCTCACTTTGCTCCATTGATTTGTTTTTCCAAGCCAGTTGTCAGCTTGTTTAAGGCAACACTGCTGCCTCCATGACATTGGCATTAGGAGCGTCATGCTGTTAGCGGCATCAGGTTTATCCAGATGGCCTCTGCTCTTGATTGCATCCAATTGCCATGTTTGTGCTCATTACATTTGAGATTTGGTACACTGTGGGAAAAATCAAAATCCTCTACTAAATCGAACTTAAAACGTGAGTTCAAACAAAATGTACTGAACTATATGGCGTAAGTATTATGACTTCAAAATGAAACATATTTGAAATAAAACGGCTCTTCTCGTAACGAGCTGCATGTACATAAATATTAGTATTTACTCACTACCACAGGTATGAGCAAACCCAGACCTGGGAGCCGATGCGGCCCCTTCTCAGGCCCTCCTCTCTCTCACCATCCTATCCTTCCTTCATTCTCTCTTCCCTTCCTCCTTCCCTCCCTCCCTTCCTTCCCTTTCTATTTCTCTCACCTTCCACCCTGTCGTCCTTCCTTCCTTTTCTTTCTCCTTCCTTCCCTTTTGTATTTCCTTCCTTCTTTTTCCTTTATCTTTCCCTCCTTTCTTCCATCCTTTTCTTCCTTTGTCCTCTTTTTTCTTCCTCCTTCCTATTCATCATTTCTTCATTCCTTCTTTCTTTTCTTCCTACTTTACTCCCTCTTTACCTCCTTCTTTCTGCTTCCATCCTTCCTTCCTTCCTTCCTTCCCTCCTTTCCTTTTGTCTTTCCTTCCTTTATTCTGTCTTTCTTCCCTTCTTCCCTTCTTCCCTCTCTCCCTCTTTCTCCTTCCATCCCTTCCTTTCATCCTTCTCTCCCTTTCTTTCTTTGTTCCTTCCTCCTTCCCTTTCATCCTTCCTTCCCATTTTTTCCCTTTCTTCCCTCTTTCCTCCCTCTTTCTCCTTCAATCCTCCCTTTCCACCCTTTCATCCTTCCTTCCCTCCTTAAGGTGGGAGTTGAAGTCCAAAACACCTGGAGGGCTGAAGTTTGCCCATGCCTATTCTAGAATAATTTGGTCTTCAGGGACAATAGGCTGATCAACAATCCTTTTGCCTAACTATGCTTAAGCAAATGTTGAACAATGTGACTAATTAACATTGTCAGGGGTGGGTAAAGGACATCCTTTGGATCTTTAACTCCACTGAAACCTGTTGCCAATTCCCAAAGTCCAATTGTGTTGGGGTTTTTTTTTTTACAAAAATTGCAGAATTTTCAAGTATTTTCCACCCCCAAAATCATGCAGAAAAGTCCCAAATTATAAATGCCCCCTTCCCTCCTGAGCCCCTCTTCGGAGGTTGAGATAGGACAGGATATAAAAGCCCAAAATAAATACATAAATAAGAAATACCTCTATTCTTATTTTTGTTATTCTTAAAAAGAGATAGAAAGTGATATGTTGTAACTTCTAGCTTAAGATAAAGAAATTTGAGAACGTGTGTGCTTGTATGTGTGGCAGGTTGCAGTCAATGGGAAGAAGTTGGTGAGGAATGGTCCTGAGGCTCCATGTAGCCTGAGTGTTATGTGTAATCTGCCATTCTATAATAAATTAAATAGGTTCAAATACAATTAATGCCTAACGGTGGAAGAGGAATTAATGGAAATCCTGCTCAGAATTCATATAAGGTATTCAACCTCTTTTCCATTAAAAAAATACTACCAATGAAAATAGTCTGAAAGTGTTTACATGTTCTAAACTCCTCTAAAAATTAATGGAGATGAATGCGAGTATTGTGCTTACTTCAAATGGGCCATGAGATGTCATGTCTGGAATCTGGCCAATCGTTTGTACATATTTACTAATCAATTGGTGTTGAATGTTACATGATATAAAAGCTGAGATTTCTCAGGTCAAGACCTGAAAGTCTTTGATCACCAAACCTGATTATTTTATTTTCAATGGGATTCAATGTTGGTTCTCACAAAATTATTTCAGGCTAAACATATGCAAATTACATGATACTGTTTTCTTACTAACATGCTGCTACTATCTATGAGGGCAACCAACCTTGTCTGCATAGAGCAAGCAGTAGTGCATGGAAAGGTCCTCTTTTTGAATCGTAACTCCCAAAATTCTCTATATGGGCTAAAATATTATGGAGTTTGAGATAAAAAGGAGCTTTTTCAAGCTCAAGCAAGGACAATACATGCCAATAGCACTTTTTAAAGTGGGGCATGTTCATTTAGTAGTTCTAAGCAAATATACATCATGTGGAGAAAGGGTCACTGAAGTATCTTGTATTACTTACATGTGTTTTCTTAATTCTGGGAGTAGGGAAATGTTTTTGTAATATTCGTTCAGACCCCAGTTAGGATTTCTTTTGTATTATTAATGTCCCAAAGCAGAACACTTTGCACTCAACCAAGTTTTTCATGTTGTTGTTCCCCAATCAGTAAGTCTTAAGAAATCTCTTTATATCCCTTTTGTTTTTCTTAAACCTGGATGAATCAGGTTCCCAAATCTCAGGGCCTAGGTTCCCTTGTGCAGCCTGCAAGCAAAAGGAAAGAACATCAGGATGAGAGAACTGAGGTCCCTTCCACACAGTTGATTATTTTCCCACATTATCTGCTTTGAACTGGAATATATGGTAGTGTGGACTAAGATAACCCAGCTCAAAGCAGATATTGTGCCCTTGGTATGTCCCCCCCCCCCATTTGTTATATATGTATGTGGTTTTTCTCTGATTTGAATAAACATAAACAACTTTATGCATCAGACTTGATGACATCACCAGGAACCACCTTTGCAATACCAACCTTCTAATATTACCAAAGCTCACCTTCTGTGACAGCACAAATCCCCCCCCCCCCCCCTCAAGTCTCAGGTTTGGCCCTAAAATCTTGAGTCTTAGGAGAGGGCCCATTGTTTTCAGTGGGAAAGTGCTGCTGTTGAACATGATCTTCAACTTTGGCGGAGTTGGTGCCCATTATATTACCAATGAGCTAATCCACAATAAAGGGTTTTATTTGCTGCTGATATGAACATACTATCAATTTCTCACACACAGTTGGATTGTCTCTTAGCATCTGCTTATGGTTAAGTGTTAGTGATCCTTTCAATGTCTTCAAAGTTAGAGAATAACACCTGGTCAAAAGCTTTTCTCAACTTTATGGAAGTGATTATCTACAGCTACAGAGAACACTGCAGACCAGCAGTTCATAAAGATACTCAGTTGCACCATCATAATTATGCTGTTACACAAAACCCTGTCTGGTCCATCCAGTACTTAACATTTGCAATCCACAAAAACACTTTTGAGTACTTTCACCAGAAATGCCAAAATCACAGTTTGGCTTTTACACACGTCGCCACTCTGCTATCACAGTCACTCACAGCATAATCATCTACAAAGAGGAATATTAGCATGTCCAAGTTTCCCAGCTGTTGTTTTCTTTAATCTATGAGAGAGGCCACATCCAGAGGAGAGGAGCTTGAATGCTTTTACTCTTGTGGATGATGATTTGTCTATTCATCCCATTTGGAGTCACATAGCCACCTATATGCTCTAATGAAATACCTGGGAAAATAAGCAGCTCTATACATATTTAGTACTGTTTCTTGTAATGAACTAGGTAGTTAACAATAGTCACCAGTGCAAAACTGTTGCAGTGAAAAGTGTGATCTGAGAAAATAGGCTAAATTTGCTCTATCACTGGTCCCTCAATATCATTCTGTCACACTCATGCTAAGTCATGGTGTAATTCCCCTGAATTACGATGTCCTCCTCTAGCCCCCTGGTGGCACAGTGGGTTAAACCGCTGAGCTGTTGAACTTGCTGACCGAAAGGTTGGTGGTTTGAATCCAGAGAGCAGGGTGAGTTCCTGCTGTTAGGCTCAGTTTCTGCCAATCTAGCAATTTGAAAACATTCAAATGTAAGTAGATCAATAGGTACTGCTACAGTGGGAAGGTAACGGTGCTCCATGCAGTCTTGCCGACCACATGGCCTTGGAGGTGTCTACGGACAATGCCAGCTCTTCGGCTTCGAAATGGAGATGAGCACCACCCCCTCAGAGTCGGACACAACTAGACTTAATGTCAAGGAGAAACCTTTACCTTTACCTACTATGTCCTCAACCACCTTTAATATAAAGCCAATGCCTTCGTCTTCATAAGCATTTCTAACTGGCCAATCAGTTAAACCGAAACATAATGTGGCTCTGCAAAATTTATCACTTTGTTTCATGGAGCAGCAATTTTCCAGAGCTTGGAAAAACTACTTTTCTGGTGACACAACCAGAATCCCAAGTTGGCTGAGGGATTGTGTGTGGCATTATATATATATATATATATATATATATATATATATATATATAGTCAAAGGCTTTCATGGTCAGAATCACTGGGTTATTGTAGGCTTTTCTGGTTGTATGGCCATGTTCTAGAAGTATTCTCCTGATGTTTCGCCTGCATCTGTGGCAAGCATCCTCACACACAATCCCTCAGCCAACTTGGGATTCTGGGAGTTGTCACACAAAAGTAACTTTTTCAACCTCTGAGGATGTTTGCCACAGATGCAGGTGAAACCAGGAGAGAAGGCTTCTGGAACATGACCATACACCCCGAAAAACCCATAACAACCCCCCCCCCCAATCTATCTATCTATCTATCTATCTATCTATCTATCTATCTATCTATCTATCTATCTTCCAAGCTCTGAAATGTATTCATTGACTGTTATCCAGAAGAGAAAAAAGGGGAGGGAAATCCATATTTTAAATAAAACTAGTGTTTAAATAAAATAAAGTGCATACAGTTGATAGTCCATGGCTTATCACATGCCCATGATAAAACAGAGAGTGGTGAGAAAGAAATCAAAGTTGGGTATGAGAAATAAAAGAGTATGCGTTTTCCTTCCTTTTTTCCACAGGGAAGCTCTTTGCCTGTCATTTTTCCTGTCCTTTGGCACAAAGATGTGTCTGGGGGGAGTGATGCCAAAACTGAATAGGCAATTTCAAGACAAAACTGGCTCCGAAACAGGCAAATGCCTGCAGTGGGTGGTGTATTAAATGAGAGCTGGAAGGTAGAGGCCGAGCTGGCTGCAGAGACAGTGGCAGAGGGGAGATTGCGCTCATCTTCTTTTGTAAGCAGCTCTGCTTGGTTAGCATGTTGTCCTGGAAAACAAACAAAAACAACATCAGAACTGTCCACCTGCAAGGACTGCTGAGCAGTAAATTAAGGTGGCAGCTGGGTTCTAATGGTGAGCTTTTTACCCAGCCAGGATACCATCCATAGTAATTCAGCCCAGATGCTTTTCATCTAGATGTGATGAACACACTGCAAATGCCCAGACAGAAATGAAAGCCTCTCCCACCTCCTCCAACAATCATTTTCCTTAGCAGTAGCTGACAGAAATAAGTCAGTCATCAAAGGCTTGGTTTACGTTCTTGCTGTGATCCTATCTATAGCAACTGAATACCTCTGGGAGCTCCTGCAGTCTAGTGACACACACACAGAGAATGGTGACATTGAGTCTGGGTGTGCATCTCGCCACTGACTCACTAAGTGACCTTGGACACTTTACTCCCCAGGCCCTTCTTTTGTAGTTTCCATGCAGTTCTACTCATGGGCTTTATGCTCATGCTGAGTGAACGATACTCATTGCTCTACCTGTCAAAAGTGGGTATCTTGTAATACAGTTCTTTTCTGTGACCCTGCAGGCTGGAAGATTCTGAGAGATATAGTTCAAAAAAAGCAACCCTTCCAAACTGCTGTGATACACCCCATTTCCCCCCACCATGATTTCACTTAAGAGCAACACACTTTTTTCACTCGTGGACGAGGACCACAAATGACTCTGGGTCTTATTCCTCCACTGCTGTCATTTCCCAATGCTCAGTGCCAACTCACCACCAAATGCCTTTGCAGTAACCTTGTTACCTAATCAGCCCTTCCTGAATGATCTGTTTTATCTTTGGCAGCAAGCTTCGCTGCTTTGGCTGAAACAAAAGTTCTACTCAGACTGAAAAAAAAAAGAAGAGTAAAACACCTTTCTATGCCTTGCTACATTATTTTCCTTGTATTTTACATTTATTTCAGGTGTGCAGGTGATGGACCGCATCGGGGGGGGGGGGGGGGGGTCAAACAGTTAAGCTTAATCACTACATAAATTTGAATCTGGGGAGTGGGGTCAGCACCTGGATGTAAGCTCCAGCTTCTCATGCGGGGACATGGGAGGAGCCTCTCATGGAATGATAAAATATTTGGGCATACCCTAGGCAATGTCCTTGCAGACAGCCAATTCTCTCACACCAGAAGTGACTTGCAGTTTCTCAAGTCGCTCCTGACACACACAAAACCTCACATAAATGACATTTTAAAAAGTCAATAACGTGTAGAAGATTACTGTAGATTAAGATACAGAGGAGGGGGAAGATTTAGGACTTTACCTGCCCTCCCATGATTTAGGTTTGGATTGCATTGTAGAAAAACCCCCCCCCCCCCCCCCGGTGTGAATAGGACATTTTGTTCCAATGTTAAGAAGGGGCATGGAGTGCCTGATCTAGACAGGGCTCCCAATGAGAAGTAAAGGGTCAAATCTCCTTCATCCTCGCAGGTTCTCAAGCTGGATTGTTTGCCTCCCCCCCCCCCCCCCCAGCATCTTCCATTTACTTGCCACCTATGTGTTTAATGCTCAGTGGTTGAAATAATGAGCAAAGCAGTCACCTGTATATAGGGCAACACAGAAACTACAAAGAGGACATCTGTGTCATCATGCCATCTGCCTTTCTTTCTAGCTACATGTGTCTCTCAATCTGTCTCTCTCAAAAAAAGAAGCAGAAAAGATATTTGTTTTGTCCCATAAGGGACCCATGGATGATCAAAGCCATCTTAGGGAGAAAGGCTCGGATAAAGTGTAGAATGTCCCCAGAGCTGGCTTTACTCAAACACAGAACTCATAGATAAGAAGCCTATTTCTGTAGCATTGCTTCTCACTCTTCTGTAACCAGAATGAGCATATTGCTAATTACCTATTTTAATTATTTAACATATTTCTACCCCACTATTTTATGAATGGCATCACGAGGTAGCTTACTGAACAACACTAAGCAATGCCATATATCATGTGCTTCAAAAAGGAATTAACTGCATTAATTCTACACCATAGAATTAATGCAGTTCAATACTACTTGAACTGCCATGGCTCAATTATATGGAATCACTGAGATGTCATTTTACAAGGTCTTTAGATTTCTCTGCCAAAGAACGCAGGTGCCTCGCCAAACTACAAATTCCAGGATGCAATCTATAGTATTGAGCCATAATCATTAAATTGTGTCAAACTGCATTATAATTATATGGTGCAGAGTCAGCTTAAGTCATCCCTTGTTCCCAAGGCCTTTTTGCCTTGAAGTAAAATTGGAGAAAGTATCCTTCTCTCTGGGTCTTGCATCTAGCAATCAGAAGGTGTAGTAAGGCTATTCCAGCTCTTTTTCTCAAAGAGATTTTTCACAGCAACCAAAATAAATGAATAAATAAATGAAAATAGAAGAAACTGTGTTGGGGGTGGGCAAGAAAGCAGGGTTAAGAACAGAAGAGAATGATATCTGATTATCTACTTTGAAAATGCAGTGAAAGTGGCAGTGGTTTGATTAAACCCTTGCCTGAAACCAGAGAAAGACAGAGAATAATAATTTCTTTTCTGGAGGCGGCAATGGCTTTTCAGAAGTGCTGAATTAGCATTTTGGAAACCTATGTTTAAAATGCATGAGTTTGCATCTTGCTGATAAATTTTTAGTGCCCACGAATCACAAAGATAGACAGGTTGGTGTGTGTGCGCGCGTGCGTGTGTGTGTGTGTGAGAGAGAGAGAGATGAAGAAAAAGTAGAAATACTCACAAGGAGCATGCATATAAAACTTCTGTTATCTTAGAATCTGAATATATATTATAAGATGGCTTTAACTGCTTTACCATAAATCAGGGGTTCTCAGAATTTTTCAGTGACATAGCCCTTTTTGAAGCAAAAGTTTCTCATGGAGCCCCAAGAAATGTTTATATATTATATTATAAAAGTAAAGGTAAAGGTTTCTCCTGACATTAAGTCTAGTTGTGTCTGACTTTGGGGGTGATGCTCATGTCAATTTCTAAGCTGAAGAGCTGGTGACGTCTGTAGACACCTCCAAGGTCAGATGACGAACATGACTGCAAGGAGCACCATTACTTTCCTGCCAAAGCAGTACCTATTGATCTACTCACATTTGCATGTTTTTGAACTGCTAGGTTGGCAGAAGCTGGGCCTAACAGTGGGAGCTCATCCCACTCCCTGGATTCGAACTGCCAACCTTTTGATCAGCAAGTTCAGCAGTTTAACCTGCTGAGCCAGTGGGGGAGGGGGACATATTATATTATGTATAATGTATATATATCAGGCATGGGCCTGGCTAGAAAGAAAGAAAGAAATATTAATACAATATTTAAAATGAAGAACAATTTAAATCAATTTAAACTTAACAGTATTACAGTGGAAGACCCCCAGGGTCACCCAGTCCAATTCCCTTCTGCCATGCAGGAAAAACATAATAATAGTGATGATGATGATGATGATGATGATGATAACTGAAAAAGTTACAGAAAATGAACATGTCAAACTACTCTGGGACTTCTGAATTCAGACTGACAAGAGTTTTGGAGCACAATACTCCTGACCTCCCAATTGTGTTAAAAAACAGAGTGTGGATCGTCGATGTTGCAATCCCAGGTAACAGCAGGATTGAAGAGAAACAACTGGAAAAGCTGACAATATGAGGATTTAAAGATCAAACTGCAAAGACTCTAGCACAAACCAGTAAAGGTGGTCCCTGTGGTGATCGGCACACTGGGTGCAGTGCCTAAAGACCTTGGCCTGCACTTAAACAGAATCGGTGCTGACAAGATTGCCAGCTGCAAAAGGCCACCCTACTGGGATATGCACACATTATTTGCCGATATATCACACAGTCCTAGACACTTGAGAAGTGACTGATGTGTGATCCAATACAACAGCCAACAGAATGATCTTGTTTGCTGTGGACTCATCTTGTTGAGTTTCAAATAATAATAATAATAATAATAATAATAATAATAATAATAATAATAATAATAGCAGAAACCACATAAGTCATCCAGTCCGACCCCCTTCTGACACACACAATCAAAGCACCCCCTGAGTGATGGAAGGGAAATAGGGTTTTACTTTACTTTACTTTACTTTACTTTACTTTACTTTACTTTACTTTACTTAGGCGATCCCTCGTTGTCCAAGTAGGATAGTCTTCCAAGATCAGTGTACTGGCAATAGGTGACTGTGGAGCCCTATTCTTGATCTGCATCTTCTCCCACAGTGAGGACATTGGTTTCCAGGTGGAAGGCGGTCCCAGTCGGGATTGGCTTGATGCGCCTTCCTCTTGGCACGTTTCCCTCTTTCGGTCTCCATTCGTGCCTCTTCAAATTCTACAGCACTGCTGGTCACAGCTGACCTCCACCTGGAATGCTCAAGGGCCAGGGCTTCCCAGTTCTCAGTGTCTATGCCAGAGTTTTTAAGGTTGGCTTTGAGCCCATCTTTAAATCTCTTTTCCTGCACACCAACATTCTGTATTCCGTTCTTGAGTTCGGAGTAGAGCAACTGCTTTCGGAGATGGTGGTCAGGCATCCAGACAACGTGGCCGGTCCAGCGGAGTTGATGGCGGAGAACCATTGCTTCAATGCTGGTGGTTTTTGCTTCTTTCAGCACGCTGACATTTGTCTGCTTGTCTTCCCAAGAGGTTTGCAGGATTTTTCAGAGGCAGCGCTGATGGAATTGTTCCAGGAGTTGCATGTGACATCTGTAGACAGTTCACATCTCACAGGCTAGTATAGCAGGGTTGGGAGGGCAATAGCTTTACAAACAAGAACTTTGGTATCCCTACAGATGTCCTGGTCCTCAAACATTCTATGCTTCATTCGGAAAAAATCTGTACTCGCAGAGCTCAGGCGGTGTTGTATTTCAGTTGACTTTTGTGGAGAGGTGGCTGCCAAGGTAGCCGAAATGGTCTGGAACCTCCCTCACGGCCACTCCTGGGAGTGCATGACTCCAGTTGTTGTGCCTGCAGGTTCATTGGAACACGCAAGCTCCCTCAACACGACAAGGTGGCAGTC